TCTAATCGAGCCATCTAATTAAGATGAAATTCTTCGCGGGACTCTTTAGCCCCGACGAGCATGCCTTCTTCCTCTCCATCTTTCTCGTCCGTCTCTCGGAGAAACATCGCGCCGTATCTCGCAATGCATCACCGCATCGTACGGATCTCCTATCGCGTGTGCGATACACGTGAGATACGATTCTCGATAACCTCGTCGAAGATCTATCGATCGGTCGACGGTAGGGGCGCACGCGTACCGCGTGGCCGCGCATCTAACTAGGTCCATTAACGCCAGCTAATTAATGTATCTGATTAAGCAAGGCATCGACGCACATGTATCATCTCAAGTCCCGACCACGCTCGATCCATATAATATCTCGTATCTAGATAGTTGTGTTGCTTGCATAAACTATGCGGCGGCGTACATCGTCGCCACGGCGCGGGCATAAATCTTCGTTATTTGACGTAATGGCCACTCGCGCGGCCTCATACGCCGTAGATTATTATTATTATAAATTCTCCGGACACGCGCGCGCGCACATGCGTACACGCACATCGCGACGTTCTTACGAATTTCAGCCGGGGATGATGTACGCCCGGCGCCGAGCCGCTCTGCGTCGCGACGCGACGCGACGCCACGTCGCCCGATCGACGAAGATTCATGGCGCGAATGCCGCAAACATAAAATAATATGCTGAGCCTTGTAATACGCTATCGGCCTGTATAGGATGTCCCAGAACTAATGTACCGTTAAATCTCCCGAGGAATCTGTCACCGGCAGGATATCCGATAATTCTTGGGTCGACGTTGTTCCCCTTCCCCACCTCCGCCGGCGATGTTCTACGGACATGTACTCTCGTTGTCGGACGTTTCGCAAGACTTTAACAGACCATCGAGCGTAACTGAATGTTACGCTCTCTGTTAAAAGCGCGGAGAAATTACCGTAACTAGCGCGCTACAGCGCTCGCCTAATGAGAAAACGCCTCTCGCTCTCGGTTCGAGTAAATTGCGTGTATCGTATTTGGACAGCGACGTGCTCGCTTTCGGCGCTCTTACTTGAGATTTGTACACTCGTACTCCCGTACGTTCTCGTGCACTTCGTCGGAAAAATATTTCCAGAAAGCGTATTTTATACATACATACGCATCCATATCTATATACATTTATTGTACATACATGCATATATATCTATACGTACGTATACAGGATATCTCATAATATGTGAGCATAATTTCAAAAATGAATTCAGGACACAATCAATTCGTATAAACATTTGTTCTATCCGACTTTGTTTCCGAATTACAGACATTTTCGTATGTCACCAATTCTCGTTAAGTTTGTTAATTTTATTAATTTGCTAGATTTAAATTCAATGATAAGCGTTCGAGATAGCACGGAACCAAAGTGTGCCGTAGCGCACAGCCAATCAGCGTCACGGAAAAGCGACAATAATAATTTCGATAATTTCGAATATCGGCTTAATAAGCCTTTTCTAGAAAGAAAAAATAAAAGATGTTCGAAAATCTACCGACTTTATTGATTCAAAACCGTTAGGTTTTTATCACGATGGAATTCAAGTGCGCGATAGATGGTGTAAGGTCATCGATAATAACAAGGATTATTTTGATAATTAAAATCATATACTTGCCATTGATAAATAAATTTTGAATTTGGTAACGAAAGCACCGAATTAATTTACGTACACTTGATATATATATATATATATATATATATCCTCGAAGATTATTTCGTTCACGTAGATAATCGAAACGAATCGCGCGCTCCCGAATAAAATCAAAAAGCAAACTGACCCCTCCGCTTCTAGGCGCATCGTCCGCGCGACTCCACACGCGACAGATCGACGTGCATTTTTCACGATGCAGCCGGTATTGCGGTCCGTTGAATTATGCATACGCGGGGTCAGATATCATTTCGATAGCCGGCATGGACGCTCGGCGTGAGCGATCTGTCACTGATGCTTAATGACCAGCATTAATTGGTTATTGTCAGTGCCTCGGCCATCGATCGCGATGTTGTCCGGTATCACGGCGATATCGCGACGCATTCGGCCTTCCGTGAAGCATTCAACGCTCGCCAGGAATAGCTCTCGTTGGTAGAGAGAGAGAGAGAGAGAGAGAGAGTTTCGGCGCTGACGAAGGATCGTTCAGGGTACGACCTCCGTTTTTGCTCCGGGAATGCGATTCGATTCTTAAAAATGAAGGTAGCACATGCTGACCACGTGCGCGCCTCGCGTGCGCATCGTCGAGCTTGACCTTTATCGACGATATCGGCGTAAGAAACCGCATCTCGCATTCGCGATGTTACGCAAGTACGTTTCCTCGATAGCGCGCTTGCTTTCGGTAATTCCCGATTTCGTCGACGGAATCCTTCCAGTTATCCTACCTTTCAGCGCGCGACATTAGAACGACTTTGGAAGATTAGCTACGTATGTTATTTAATCGATCGTTCACAGGACCCGTCGTTCACCCCGTGAACTTTCCACGACGCATTTGCATATACGCGGAAACGCACGGAGCGGTGTATTTCGCCGTAAAACGCACAGAACGCCCGCCGATCGGAAGGAAGAGAGAGAGAGAGAGAGAGAGAGAGATTTATTTTGCGTTCTGGGAAGAATCTTAGAGAAAGAGAGAGAGAGGGAACTCATGACCTTTATTGCAACCTTATGACATCCCTAAGATATCTTTCGACGACCACGCCGTGAGAGGACAAAGGGGTTAGCTTTCGTATATCCCCGAGCGACGGTTGGCCGGCGAGACGCTCTTCCCGAGATTCCAGGCATCGTCCGGGGATCGGACTTCTTTCGACAACTGTGCAAAGTACAAAGGGGGATGCAATACGCAGGGGCACCGGATACCGTCCGGAATTTTATGACTGATCTAATCAATGAAGGGTCAGTCTCTATATGTGCGCCGGATATCCCGCATGTTCTCTACAACTCTCCACTTCCACGTTCAAAGTATTATTGAATTTCCAGACGGGGCGGACTAGACTTCCGCTCCTGAGTCGAGGTCGCAGGGGATCCTTTGTCAGCTTACACCGAATATCTTCTTTCGTCCGTGGGAGTGAATGTCAATTGCAGAAACTGCCGGGGATAACGATCGATCCGCGGGCCTCGGGTGTAAGCGCGTTCCGGGTGCGTTCGCGCGTAGACGACTGTTTTAATTACGTCGACGACGACGAACTTTCCTTGCGTTTACACCGGAGGACATCTCCTTATTCCGAATCGGATCGCTGAGTCTCATCGACTCAACGATATTCACTCGACAAAAATTTCTCCACTCGGACGAAACGGTTCAAGGTTGTTTCCGATCGCAGTAATTGAGGTATTATTTCTTTTTTTGGTTGGTGCCTATTCAGTTACACAAATTGAGATATTTTTTTTCAATGTAACAGCAGTTAGCTAAATAGCGCGCGTAGCGTGCACCCGCGTTGTTTTGGAAAAGGGAAAGAAAAAAGGAAACGTCACCTATCACGCGCGGAGGAAAAATGTTGCTGGGAAAATTCGTTACTATAGCGACAGCGGAAAGATTCGTCGCACGGAAAAAATAATTCCGCTATTGTAGCAGAGCGTTGCTGCGACAGCGATAAAATCTAATTAGCGCGAGCAAAAATTAATACTCTCAACATATCTTTTTGCTGTCACTGCGGTAACCAACGATTTGCTGTTCCGGCGAAATTTTTTTCTCCGTGCGATACCGATCGGCGCCTCGCGAAGAATCGAAGTTACAACGGACATGTTTTACGGTCACTCGTGAGAAACGTACGGCCGAAGTTCGCGTCTCGCCGTGAGATATGAACTTTTACCCGTTGTATCTCCATATTGCGGTGGATGCGCCAGGGGACGTTAAAGCGCAGTTTCTACGCTCGGGAAGACGTCTTAAGCGTACTTATGCAGTTTCTTCGCTCGCGGAAACCGCGGCCACAAACGGCGAGAACACTTCGCGGAGAATATACTCGCGAGAATAATACGCGGTGTCGGTCCGCTTTCTTCGCCGTCGCGAAAAAAGTCGCGTGCGGCCGCTCCGCGGGAGGCTTATTTTCTTAGTGAACGGACCGGGCGTGGTGGTTACGACGCCGGGTACTTTAAGTTGCTGTGAATTGTAAAGCGACGCATTAACTGTTTCCCCCGACGGGGGAATATAATGGGGGAAAACGTCGTTCGAGAACATACGCGAATGCCCCTACCGTGTCTGAACAATGAAGACATGCTCTACTAATGGCGCACTGTTGCAATATGTAGATTATGCCGTATACATATAAATATATATAACACACATATATATATATATACATATATATATATATATATATATATATATACGCACACATATATTGCGTATTATGTATATTACGACGATATCAGGTACCGTGTCGACTGAGGTTGACACGAACTCGGGAATGATGCGGCGACATGAATTCCATCGTTAATGCTTAATTACGGATAGTGCTTAATAATCGCATTAGCCGCCGGCGTGTATCAGGTTTCGCGTGTCGATCGTTCGTCCATACGGACCACCGACGTTCCTGTTCGCGGCAGTGCGGACACAATGCGCGCACGATCTTCCTCGTGGCGAAATAATTAGCGATCATCTTATCACCGCCCCCCGAATGTTGTTCATTGATTGATGTCTGAGGCCAACCCCTGACGGCCGGACCGGCCGATTCTTTTGTGAACGCGATCCTCGCTATTCGCACTTCGAGAAATGACGTACGTCAGATGTCTCTGCGCATAGGCTGCATACTGCCTTTGTCCAATTAGCCCTTCGATCATTAAACTCCGATAATTGGAATATGCGGCGTGTCGCGGGGCGACCGAAACCGAGCGCGTCTCGGTGTTACACCGACACGGCTAACTCTAACGCGACGTATCGCCGGGGATAAGCTAATCGGGAATCGAGTTCGCGTCGTCGCTCGCAAAATAGTGACTCCGGCAGACGCGCGCGTAACACGTGAGTCAAGGCTTGTTCTCACTGCGCGAACCAACATTTACATTTGCAGTCGTGCCGGTATGCCAACACGGCCAGACGAAGGTATTCGGCGTGGCGCGGCAGGAGACCGCGAGCATCCCCTGCGAGCTGGAGGCGAACCCGCCGGAAGTATCGTTCACCTGGAAATTCAATAATACAATGGAGACAGTGGACATACCTCAGGCACACGTCACGAGCGACCGTACACACTCGATAGCCTCCTACACACCGATGAACGAGCTGGACTATGGCACTCTCCTTTGCTGGGGCAGCAATGACCAGGGCACTCAGCTCGAGCCCTGCGTCTACCATATCGTGCCAGCTGGTAAGTGCTTTGACACAGACACACACGTGCCTACGTGTGTGCGAGCGAGCGAGCGCGCATACACGTACGGTCTTCCGAGTTTTTGAAAAATTACTTCGCGAATCGCACGTTCCGCTCTCGACGTCCCCGTGACGCGCGCCCTCTCTTTTTCGGCTGATCTATTTCTCGCGAGAGATATCCCGCGATCTCTCGCTCTCTCGCTCGGCTTGAAAGCACGTTTGCAGCCGGGCGTTCTTCTTTTTGCGGATTTGAAGTGATTCAAAGAAAAGTCAAATAATGTGATTAAGTAGAACGCACATGAGCGACGAGTTGGATCGCGCGTGCCCGCGTTTGTGTCTGATTCAGTCGAGACGTGAATGCAGATTGCGTGCCGTAAATTACTGCGACACTCGTCGCTTTTATTACAACGTCGCGATCGCTGACACGATCATCGAGCGAGTAGACCGAATAAAAAAAGAGAAAAAAAAAAGACGAACGGGGAGAATCTTCCGGTGACTTTGCAACCGCGACACAACTTTCCCGAGAACGACGTATCGATTTTAACGGACGAACGTTGCGCCGTTCGAGAAAAGCTTTTGAAAAGTGCAGTGAATGGATACGCCGCATTTACTCTTCCTGTCGCCGTCACCATTCGGCATTCAATGAATTATAAATGCAACGCGTCCCGCCGTCTACTGCGTTTTTGTCAAATTATCGGCATGTCGATAAATCGAAAGAAGTTTCTCCGCGAGATCTACACAGCGTAGTACCGCGAATGTACTCTTCAAAGTTTCACCCGCGATCGTACGCGCATTGTGTGTGTGTGTGTGTGTGCGTGCGTCGTAAAATATCGCATTCGTTACGATTTCAATTACGCGCCACTGTACTACGCCAAATTGCAATTTTGTTTTTCTCCTATTTTTTTTTCTACATTCTAGAGTTCGATTTGACGCGGTTTAATTTAGCCGAACGGGGCGGAAACACCGGCGCAAACGCCAGCGAAAATACCGGAGGGAAGGATATCGCGGCGCACTTTTATCGCCGTGCAGGGCGTAAGAATTCACGACCGAACGGGTTAAGGACACGAGCACTTTTACGCATCGCGGGAGAATCTGTTTTCCGCGACGGAAGATCTGCCGCGTTTATAAAGGCTGCAGCCTCGTAGGCGGACGCATCAATACGTGACAAACGCATTTTAGTACTCCGCTTGGCACTAAACTAGCGGAACGCGCAATAAAAACGGCCGTTAAAGTGAACGTCGCGTAAAAGGGATATTACGATTTGAGCACCGTGATGGTAGCCGCTCGAGTAGAAACGAAAATCTAACTAACCTCGTATCGGCTGATGAAGGACGATCAAATCTCGACGTAGCACGGCGAAGCACGCGCGCGAGACAATTCGCTCTGTCAGCGCAGCGGTTCGCGAGATCTTCTCCGGAAGTAATCGTCGTGTCGCAGTGATTTTGCAAAACGATACTTTGAACGTATGTTTCGACCTCATGCGAATAAAGAAGGTCGGGGCCGTTTCTCCGATTGGCCGGTTACGAGCTTAAAAATGTATTGCTCGTAACTCAAAATTATGAAAAAAAAAATCTTAAATTAATCTATATTGCATTAAGAAGTGACGCCAAAAGTTTGACGGTAAATCGGAGCCTGGATCAAAAGTTATTCCACTTTAAAGGAGGTTGTAAGGCAAAATGAATTTGACAAAAATTCGATGAAACTTGCACTGCGTATAATATTGAAATATTATCGAACTATTTGTCTTTAAATGCACACAATTGGCGCTATTAATCTGCTGCCGTCGAAGTGCCAGTTCCAATGTTCGACCTCATTATTACAGATGTTCACCGTCGTATCGTAGCACGCCCATTGTATTCGCCAATTAATCATTTGTTGATATCCACCGGTCGACACGCAAATTCCCGCGCCGTCCGGTCCAAGTAAGACTCGAGCGAATGACGCGGTACGCGAGTAATTCGGACTCGTCGAATGCGCTTTCGGGGGTGTGAGAGTCGACAGCCGGCTTCGAGAGGCTCGATATCTCGAAATTAGAGAGACTAATGCCCGATTTCACCATTAGCGACATTAATCTGGATTTACATAAACGCAATCGGTTGAAGTGAACGTTGCTTTGAACCATCGCGATTTCAATGGAATCGCATTCCACCGATTCTGGAAAAGCATTGTTTAAGTAAACTCATGCTCCATGCGATGAAACTTTTCTAGTCATCGGTGATTGATTGATCACGACCGTAAATTCATGAAATGATGCGTAAGTTAATCGTTAGTCGATACGATTTGTGCCGAGTTGGTGAAATCGGCCGTGATGAATTGTCGTCTCTGCAACGTCTCTGCTTGCGCCTGTCCAACACAACAGGTCGGCCGGACCCGCCGCTCAACTGCTCCTTATTGAACCAAACGACCGACTCGATCTACGTGGAGTGCATCGAAGGTTTCGACGGCGGGCTGCCGCAAAAGTTCACGATGCAGGTGGACCGCGAAGCCGGCAAGAGCAGCGGCAGCTCCGCGGCCTCGGCCGCTGCCGCCACCTCCACGACCGTCTACAACCAGACGAGCAAGCTGCCGACCTTCTCCGTCAACAATCTGGACCCCGGCAGCACCTACGAAGTTTCTATTTACTCCACCAACGGCAAAGGTCGCAGCGACGCCGTGCACTTTCGCGCCACCACCCTGAATCTCCCTGAGAGACGAACAGGTGAGTAGCCCGGGCCACAGAGTGGTGTGACACGACACGTTGAGAAAATGATCGACGACGAGGAAACGATCCACTGTGACCGCCACGTCGTCGTCCACGATCTGCCGAACGATTCATAAGTAAGTCTCGAGTGACGTTGCGAGCGTCGCTGCGTATCCCCGTGCGCATTTCGCGAGACCGCGGGGTAGCTCTCAAGGGGAAACTTGCCAGGCAGCTTCGCGTGCTTTGTCGCGTCGAGTGCTCGTTGCGTTGTAATTTCGATGAAGGCGACTGCAATGCAATAACATTGGTCGTAACAATAATAATGAAATAATGATGAAATCGTGATAACAGCGACGAGCGCAGTCAGTATATTGCAATACGGCACTGCAGCGTTATTTGAAAGATTCCGAGGACAATTTCGCGTATCGATGTCCGATCCGGACGCTCCTCCGTGCCACTTATTGCTCGGTACAGTTCGCGCACCGAGCTTCGAACCTTCAAAATTGCGTCCAGCCGTGCGCGATTTTATTGGAGGTGCTCGCTAATGTTAGTTCGAAACATCGCGCAAATAGCTCGTTATCGTATTTCGTAATTACTACATTACTCGCCCAGCCGCCGAAGTTCTCTCAATCTCGACCTAATAAACTCACCGTAGTTGGGCGAGTAGTGGGGGAATGTAGTTTATCGAGTGGCTCCTAAGTTTCGATTGTGTCAATACCATAACAATATCGGCGAGAGCGCACCTATCGGCGCGGAGCGTAAAACGCCGCGTCGTAAATGCGCCCGGGAGGATGTAGACGGCGGAATATGTAAAGGGAGGCGTCGTCTCGCACCCGAGACGGGGATATTACTTATGAATCGATCTAATATTTTGAGCACTGTTCGCCACGCTGCACGGCCTTGCATCGTAGATGCTCTCGTGTGAACACGTTGATCCTCGCGAGCAATAACATCGTAACTCGATTCTCGCGGCGGCCCTTTTTTTCCGCGGGCCCTGCGTGAGAGAAAGTTCGCGGCCGCTAAATTACGCCCGTGTTTCACATGGCGATAACACGTATCGCGCATTTGTTTGTGCCGATTTGCGCGAGATCATCCGCGCGGTTTACGCCAGATATTTCTCACTACCGCGCGGAAAGTTAGACAAACAGCGCTACAGGATGTATATAGAAAAGTTCAAATCAGTAGTAAGTTTGTAATGGAGTTTCATCTCCCTGCTTTCCTCCCTCTTATTCTCTCTTTCTCGCTTTTTTTCTCTCTCTCTCTCTCTGTCTCTCTCTCTCTCTCTCTCTCGCTCTTTCTCTCTTCATCTCTTTGACGAAATTTAACTCATTGCTCAATTACCGAACGACTAAGCAAAGACATTTGGAGAAAAGAGAACGCGGAACATTAAGTAACGCTAACGGTAAATTACGCGTCCGCGTAAAATCGCGCGATATCGCGGTAACGTTTCATCTCATTCTGTTCACTAACGTTTCTCCCGGCCTTTTCGCGGAACGGCCCAATGAATACGAATCCCATTTTGAGACGAATAAACAAGGGTTTTAGCAGAACGTGCTAGCAAATGCAACGCGTTGCAGTGGTATATCCCAAGCGGAATCTCAATTAATAACCCGAGCTCCGAGGTAATTTCTTCGCCCCTTTCCGCGATAAAGGAGCTAAATCATATTTCTACTCGAAATACGTGCCACGATAATCGAATTATTTGCAGGCGAGTCGTCGCGGAACGCGGAAAGATCGCGACGAGTTTTAATCGAGACAACCCCCGAAAGAGAGAAAAATATTTGGACAACGGTATTTTCACGGATTCCTCGGCGACGTCGCGCGAAAATCAGGCGAAACTTCTCGTGCACGCAAGGTGTATGCGAGAGAGAGAGAAAGAGAGAGGAAATTGTCTCGCGAGTTACGATGATATTGGGTCCGATCGTGAAGTCCGCAGCCATCTCAGCGAACGATGGCGTCATTATCTCTTTATATCTGAGCGATCAAGCACACGTAATGTCATGTGGAGCTGTAAACGTGTTAGAGTTTTCGTGTAGAGAGCTGCATCAAAATCGTAGCGGACATGCAGTACTTGTAAGATGTGATTAGATGCATATGCCGGCACACCCGCAGGCGGCGCATGATCGCTCGTCGTCAATGACCGTTTCGTACTCACTCAAGTATTCCCCCGTCGCTCTCGGTCCATCGGCGATGGCGAGTATCGATGTGCGACCGACAAAAGCGATACGATTAGTAGCAATTGCACGCCAACCAGCATTGACCGCCTCTCAGGTGGTAAGGTAAAACGCAATCACGCCGTTCCGCAACCCCGTGATTCTTTTTGCAGCGGAATAAACCTTCGTTCGCCCGAAAACTTGTCAGCTACTGATAATCATTTATGCCGGAACAAGCGCTCGATTTGCATAATTAACGGTGAGGACAGGCTCCTTTCGGGCGTCTTTACGCGCTACAATTAATCAATTCGACCGATTCTCTAATGACCACCTGTCGAGCGAATCGATTTCAGTAACGGACCGAGCCGAGAACGCGTCCTTCTCGGGAGTGGAACTTGTTTCCCGAAGGAATTTCGCGCTCATAAAGCGCCAGAATACACGAGGGTCTTGCCCCTTACTTCGCCGGAATCAAGTTGCAAAGTGTGCATCTCGAAATTCGTCCGTGTCGCGGAGACATATACTTTCGGTAGTAACTTCACGCTGTAACCCCATTAAACAAATTTCTCGGCCTAATTTAGCGTCGGCGACTCTGGTCTGCTCCGGCGCATTCTTCTAACTAATTGCTCACGATTAACCCGTGGGTGCACGTAGACGGACGTTAAGCGGCGTACGCGCGTTAATAATGCGCGGCTAATAGGTGGCGGCTGCGGAACACGTCGACGTCGTCGTTTATCCGCTCTACTGCGGCCGGCGGCGCAGTGGATCGAGATGGGGTAAACCAGACTATAAAAGGCCTTTCGTATTTCGCGTCAGCTGGCCCTCTTTCGTTACAAATCACCGTTCCTTACGCTACGTACGTCCAATTTATATCCGCGCCTGCCGTTACCCGAAAACTAACAAGACCCGGCGCGAGATGTGTACGGTTTCGTTCGCGCGAAAAGAGAGACACGGGAAAAAATGTAATCGCTGATCGAGGGCGGCGTAATTTCGAGTTGAATTCGAGCTTCGACGACGCGCGTCTCGCGAGAGGTCCGCGATGCTTTGAGAACGCGTTCGGAGAGTGCGTTTATTCATGACTTCCAAAAGTTCGTCGGGTCCTCGATGCCGAGTAGAAGTTTTGCCCCGAAACTTTAATCTTTGATTTTACAACCTAGTAGGAGTTAAAATAGCAAAATAGGTCGTCGAATAGATCGATTATATCGAAATAAGTTCAATTTCAAATCTATTAATATAATTTATTTCTACTTCGACTCTGGTAATATTTTAAATTTTCGCAGTTCTAGCATCAAAATAAATTATTCAAGGTAGTATTATAATTACATTTGCTAAAGATTTGACATAGAAATGAAAGGTTTCCGAAAATCTGTCTTTCAATCGCGCACGGATGCGTTGTAATAACAATTTTTTAAAGCGCTTCCTCTCATTTTTAACCATCGACGATCGGAGCTGTTTACAGCAAAACGGTTTACCGTTAATCGCGCGGATCATATTTTTGTTTTTTGCTTATCTCCATACCTTGAGGACACGCTCCATAAAATACACTTCACTCGTGCGACGCGAAAGTTATGGCCTCCGTTGGAAGATCGCACACCCCGCTATTGCCGAGTAGCAGCTTTCGAGGCGATAAAAATGACGAAAATACGCACGCGCGCACGGATCGGCTCGTCCCGCTCGATGACTGGCAGGTATCGATTGCATTTTGACGTTTCGCATTAAAATACGTCGGTGCGCAGCGTGACGAACGATTGGCACATTTCATGGAAATCCATTGGTGTGATCGAGCTCTCTCGAGGAGATCGCACGCCATCGAGCTCGCGAAAACGCGAGCGAGGACGCGTTTATGGCGGCCGATATTACGGCTGATCGAACTTCGCTCGGGTATGCGTGTCTTGACGATTCTTCGATGGACCGTCCCTGATATAATTACCCTCAAAACTCCGCCAGGGTGTTTGTTTGCGGTCGATCGATCGATCGACCGTTCCCGCGAACGAATCCGGCCTGGGACGAAATGCTAACTCGTGCAGACCCGGCGAAATTTTAAAAACGATTAATGTGTCACGGACAGATGTTTCGGTCCCCAACTGATTGGAACGCTGTGAAACATATGGGCGCTCTCGAACACGGACGCAGCTCCCCGTTCCATTCGATCGTTAAACATATCAATTATTTCGAGCGATATTATAGCGTGATGATATCTCGTGTTCGGCCGAAGACACGTTCATTCTGCACTGAGAGAAGAAAATAGTTGGAGTAACTATAATCTCGCTATATTTTACCGTCAATTTTGATCCCAACCTTTATCATTCTTTTAAGCATGCAAAATTTAGCAAAGTGAATGCAGACTTGTAGTTTCAAATATCATACGCATTTTTTCCTCGGTGTGAGAGCGTCTCCCGCTGAACGCGAGTAGGATCTCGCAATCATTTTTGTTCAAAAGCGTTCTGTTAAAAGCGCGTTCTTCGGATATCGCGAAATTTGCAAATTCGACGACGCATGACGCGAATTCCCCCGATGGTGAAATCCATGACATCTTTGCGGAGCAAAGCAAAGGCAAGCTTATATTGTTCAGCGAAAAGTTCTCGAATTCTTCGGCACGATGGAGCCGCATCCTATCCAAAATTTCTTAACCCCCGAATCTACGTGAGACCGAGCGCTTTCCGCATGAGTAGTCCCCGATTCCTCGCGAGTCACCCGACGCGAGCTCGTCCAATTATCGCGGAGTTCGTTGCTCAAACCGAGTTACCAGCTACAGGACATCGCTATTGGCCAATCGTAACTTTCTCATATTTACCCAGCATACATCGGCATTCGGTACCGATTACTATCCTCGCCAGCCTTAACTGCCGCTGTTCCCGCAACTCCCTGGCCCCGCTCGTAAAACAACTCTCGCTCCCAAGTTGCCGTCGAAACTACCTTCGACCTGCCCACCCCCCTCCATCCTCTCCCCCCGACACCCGCCATCCACTCGCGCTCTCGAGTCAATAGACGAAGGCTGAGGCTGGTGTGTTGTGCCACTTCCGGTAGCAGGTGAAATGCTGGCGCAACCACCCTCGCCGGAGAATTGCACGATCCGGGAGGAGAGCCGGACGACCGTGCGAGTGAGCTGCGCCGAGAGCGAATACTTCGACGAAAACACCGCCACCTACGTACTGCAGGTCTTCGACGCCGACACCAGGCGGCTGTTGGCATCCGCGACGAGTCTGACGCCGAGTATGCTCGAGGTGACGAATCTGCCGGCCGAGAGGAGCCAGTCCGGCCTGGTGCTGTCGCTCCGGATCATGACGGCGCAGGCGATGAGCGACGCCACGGTCCTGCACAGCCTGCACTTTGCTCGGGAGGGTAATACCCAGGAGCACCAGCGATACCCAGGTAGGGCCCAGATACACAATGGATCGTCCCTACCCATCCGTCCGCCCCCGCCACCCCCCTCGCCAACCCGCCCTGTCGTTGTTCCGGCGTTGAACGTCGTCGACGGTACTTTTCGCCCGAGGAATTAACGACGCGCTCGTGACAGCGGCGACGAGCGATAAATCGTCGTCGTCGTCGTCGTCGAGCGAGCGTGCGAGCCACGAGGATCGATGTGATCGATTCTTTTTTTCGCTTGTGTGTTTTGCGTGTGTCATATGTATGCATTTTTCGAATCGCTCGCTGGGGGAGGAGGGGATATACGTTTTTCGGAGGAAACGTGGTCGTCGACGCACTCCCGCGACGTGATTTCGGGACGACGTGTCGAGAATCCGTGTGTATGTGTGTGTGTGTATGTGTTCAAGCGCGTATATCCCGGATATTCACTTATTTATTCGAATTTCCACGCTTGAGCTATGCCGTTTGACGCATTACCGGTTATCCCTCGCTCTCTGCCGCGTAAACCGCTCGCATACCGCACGAGTTATGGCTCAAGGCTACCGTGATCGACGTAAAGTCCGGCTAACGAGTTGGCCGCGACGAGACATACGGAATGAAGGATGGGAAATAAAGGCTCGCGGAATTGAAGATTCGACAACGCGCGTGATACAATAGTTTTCGGCAGATGTTTTGTTACGCGGTAGAAAATGTACCGGTACGGGTACGCGTGGCGTTCGCGCGACTTTTCTACACAGGCCGGCGTAACACACGTCATGCAATTAAGTTATCAAGATTTTTCCGTAATTGTACGCATTATTGATTGATTATTTAAGTGGGCTTAAAAAAATGGACAGATGCATACGTCCTACGGATACGCGAAATGAGTGACAACACGTGCGGTTAATATCCAGAAACAAATATATATAGTCGGGAGGTACCAATAAGCCAATTGTACCGTGTGTTGGGCCCGTTATGCCGGTCTGTACGTTCCACTTGCAGTCATCTGTCACTGTCTCCGAGTAGTGACATTAGTAGCGGCGGAGCAGTAGCGGCAGTAGAATAGTAGTAATAATAATGATCCACGTCATCCGTTTTATCGTTCGCGCGATGAAAGCGCTCAATCGACGACGGCCGTCTGACGTGTCAACGCTTCCGCAAATTCATCACGGAGGTACTATCTCGAAATTTGCATATTTGCCTCGCGCACACACCGCCCACACTCTCGAGGTTTTTCTATCCATCGAAGAGCCGGAACTATCGGATTAAAGGCAATCACCGGGGAATCCCGCGATTGACTCGCGAAATATTGTTACATCGTTTGTACGATACGGTCAATCTGCATGCGCCAGACTCGTGTTGACGTAAATCCGTAGTCTGCGTTACGCTTCACGCTCGTGCTCGTAGTGAGTGAGTGAGTGAGTGACGCAGAGGAGATTCTGCCTGTTTTCTCTGAATTGCACTGGTAGATACGATCCCGCTAGAGCTTCCCACGTAGCCTCTGCCATTGTGTATTTCGTTTCTCTCTCGTGTCCGCTCGAACTTCCAACGAACTTCCCTCGCACGTACCGAAAGCTTGTTCCGTTGTTAATTTTTTCCACGTCATTTGTCACTTAAACTGTACACACCAACGTGTCTCTTTGCTGTGTGTGTGTTTATATATATGTGTGTGTGTGTGTGTGTGTGTGTTATATCTAAATTATTATATAGATTAGAAAAAGCACGCTCTATTTACGTCGCTTCCGCGTGATGAATCGCCGATGCTTTTACAGCGACGAGGCGTTCGCACGAACGCTTCGTTCCGACAAACCGCGCGCGCGTGTCTTTCGCACGCGATAAACGCAATCGCACGTGATAAACATGCAGCAGCCGTCTCTCTAAACGCGATTATACTATTATATACACTTTCGTCGCCGGTTTTGATGCACACAACGATATTACGAACGACACCGTGGAGATAAGCGGCGCAGATATGCTAATCGAAGGTTTCGCTGTGTTGCATTCTTGGCGGAAGTCGACTCGCACCCGGACGCATCCTGCAAACAGTTAATGTATACACGAGAGAGTGTGTGTATGAGAGAGAAAGAGAGAGAGAGAGAGAGAGCAAAGTCGGGAGAACTTGTTTCCAAGGGACATCCACTAAGGCGACCGCTTGTGCGTGTGAACCGTGTCGAGAGGAGGGATTCGACCAAAATTGCTCTGTGGCCAAACCTGATCTCCTTGCTCGCGTCGAGATCGTTCGTGGTGTGATATACACGTGTATCGTTGAAACATTACAAGAAACCCTCTCTCGTTCTTCCGTCCTTAGAAGAAGAACCCATCCGACTTTTCCGCACACGTTCGCCGGACGCCCGCTGCTGCATTTCGCTCTATTACGAAGCGTATTTAACTTGAGAGTAACACTTTGACGCTGAAATAACATCATAAGTCTACATTACCAAAAAAGCTGTGAAATCGTGGTTTTTTTTATTATACCACAATATTATGCATATTGTGCCTGTTGTAATCATGAACTGAAAAACATTTTGTCTTCGGTTCACAAAATGTGGAAGAGGGAATAAGCGAAGGAAAGCACGTGTAGGCCTCGTAGACCTAACATGTCATTTCGTCTGTTCTTTATAGCTGCACTGCCGAACTGGTGCAATGAGTTAGAATGAGACAAGTATATTTGGTCTAACTTACCACACCAGTTCAGCAGTGCAGCTACAAAGAACAGACCAATTATTCAGCGTAGATTCACTGAATGTTTAATCCCGCACCTCTCGATACGATCCGCGCGATAGACACTTCGTATTTTTCATAGATTTTATAGATTTGCAGTTTTTTTTACTCTGTATTAACACATCGTTGACCGGCTGTCTCAGTTAACGCTGTTTTTCAATTTTTTATAAATTGACACACATTTTTAACCGACTCTTCACAACGTTGGCCCAACCATGGCCGGGTTTTTTTTTCTTTGCACAAACTGTTTTCGCGAAGCACAAGATAACTCGCGAATCGATTGGTAATGTTTGATTAGCGAAACAGTTTGTTAAAATTTTCCTCTTAACCAACGACGCGTTAAACGTAATTTCAAACGATTAAGCGAGAATGTTCCAACGCATTCGAAAGCGATCAGACCACTCGACATTTGCAATTGCAGCGGTTAATATATATATATTTTTTTTTAACACAACACTAGCGATACACGCTCGCGAACTCGTACCGTTCGTATCGTCGACGTTTGTTCACAACACACAACCACTGCTATGAATCATACAGATCATACAACGGACTATCGCGACCAGGTAATCTTACACTTCCCGCACGAGGTAAATTCCGCGAGGAGGCAGCGCGTTAGCAGCATGTAACACGAAGGGGGCTTCCGGCGCCGGTGCTTCCAATTAATCTTTCGCAAATTAATGGATAAGGTCACTGAAAGCGCAGCTTAAGCTCGAAGACAATAAAGCTGCACGCACAAGTGACGCGCGCAGCGGAACACGAAGAGACGCTCAAGTCGTGCGCTAAAGATTCGCTCGCATCCATCTGCGCCGTTCGCCGTGAGGAAGTCGCGCGCAAAATGAGCCCGGACGAATCCGGCAGATCTAATTTAAATGAACCTCAGAAGCTCACAGGCGATTATTCACTCAGCCGTCCTCGTTTATCATTACGAGCCTGTATCATGTGGGATCGTACATTTTCCTCGTCCCTGTTAATTCCCCGCGAATTTGTATAATTTATGTAAAACATTTTATATATATATATATATAGCGCCAGTCGTGTCGCGCGGCTCGAGACCGTTTGAGTTGGGAGTCCACGATCGGGAGGCAATTTAAACTCGGAAAAAGCCCGCTCTCGTCCGTATTCTCTTTGTATTCGCGTGTTTCCTACCTGCTGACTCTATCCCACGCAACGGGGGATGACGTTTTAAAACCCCGAACAACAGAAGCCGTAACGATCTTCCTGTAAAGAGCGCAACTCCCGACCGAAAGTATCGTATCGATTTTGCCGTCTTTATTATATTTCTTAGTGCTTTGCCTCGAGATACTCGCTTTTTTTCTCCCGTCCTCCCGGTATCGCTTCGGCGCAGATGAACTCGTAAAAAGTCGACGTTCTCCCTCCGCCGTACAGCGTCCCCGTGTCCATGTATTCTTCCTGTTTGCTGTCTGTACCTCGAAACTCCATTCAAATGGGAAAATATATTCGAGATTCGCGCTCAGCCCGGCAAAATACGTTTTCTGTGCACGTACGCAAGGAGCATGAATTCAAATCGTCATTAGCTCAGTTTGATGCTCGCGAATGTTGACGTGCGCGCGCGGACTGGCTTTAATATCATCTTAGAAGGAACAGAGAGGGAGAGAGAGAGAGAGAGAGAGAGAAGGGGTGGAGAGAGAGCGAAGGAGAGAAAGCGAACGGGGCACAGGAACGAGCTAGCGAAGAGGCATTCGTTTAACAGAGTTCGCGAATATAAGTGGGTTTTGATTAGCCCCGAACTTGAGCACCGCAGCAGAGAGTTCGGAATAGAGTGCATTTGAATCCCAAATTCATTGCTAATGCGGTTGCATGACCTATGATCTGCGCAAACACTCGTCGACCGCCGACATTTGCGGGGATTATTTTTTGATGATAAAGAACCGCGACTTGTGTGCGCCTCTTACGGAAATGGCGGTAGCCGCGCGCAGACCTCCTCCCTCCTCCGTCCTCCTATATCCGGCGAGAGGCGAATTCGTCCGGCCGGCTAAATACGCGCGCTCGTTAATTCGCGGAAAGTTCAAACGATATTTCATTCGAGTTTTATTTCGCGATAATGGCATTACGAACACGGCGATAACTGCGGGATCTCCGTAAGTTGGCAGATGAAGATCCAACGAGCGAAGTATCTTGATAAAAAAATAAAATTGGAGAGAATTCCTTTCTTGTTTCGCATATACATCGGGAATTAATTTAGCAGCGCAAGATTTAACGACACGATCCCGAAGCGTTGCGATCAGATACATTTTTTTTTATACGGAGATACCATAAATTATATTTACATTGAGAAGTTTGTATCTCCATCAAATTTACAAATCTATATCTACACTGAAAGAATTTAAGAGCCTGCCATATTTATTAAAAATTGTTTCCACGGCTCTAATTTAGTCATCTACAAATCCAGTTGTTCTAACGAATATCGAATATGTAAAACATCTACGAGCGTCTACAAACATGGCACGGAAACGCGAAGTGTAAACACGAAAAAAGTACCGGTCGACGAGATTTGCCGTGAGTTTTAACGGGTAAGCGGCGATGCGTCGAGCACGTGCGTGGCGCAATAATGAAATAATTATTTCTGCGAGACGACGAGCGTGTTGTAAGTTTTCATTGCGTTTCGTAATCGCGTAGGTCGCGATAAACCTCATGAGTGTCACCGCGTAGGAATTCAAAGGCGAAGCTGCCTTTACGATCGCGGTCGCCACAGCCAAGAGGAACGTTATACCCGCGCGTACTTTTTACGACCATTTTTTACAGGCCAAACTGCGTATACACACGTACACCGGCGCGCGCGCACACATACACACACACACGCGCGCGCATACGTATGCACGCTCACTCTTAACATATCAGAAATGTTCAGGACGTCTCCAGGACCACGCTACGCTTGCGGGGCATGGCGCTTTCGCATCTGAGTTAGATTTATGCTGTGAGCTACACACTTTTCGCGGATTTTAATTGCATGCGAATAAAGAGTCCGCGCACGGACTGTCCATAAGATCCTCGCGGCGAAAAATGCAGCGAGAGAACTCGACGGGTTTGACGTCGTCGCTCCCGTTTCTGTTGGAGAAAAAAAGTCATCTCTCTTTCTCCATATACAGGGTGGCTCAACTTAATTTATCTACTCAAATAACCCCTTCGTCGAGCGTATGTATCAGTTCGCGCGATCGTTTATAATTTGTCATAATTTGAATTTATAAATTTATGCATGACAGCGCTCATGAATATTCCCGACACGCGAAACGTACACTTTTTTTTATTTCCTTCCTCTACTTTCGTTATTTTTATTTTTACGAGTTGACGTCTCGACATATTTTTTCCACGAGCATGATAACGAAATATTATTTGTCGCATACATTTATTTATCGTCTACATGAAAAGACCAGCGTATTCTCTAAAGTGCAGTCGAAAAACAAACAGTGAAAAAAGATATTATTTATTATTTCTTTTTCACTATCTTAATCACCTCCTCAAGGTGACATTATCAATGATTTTTCATGAATGTCACATAAAAATAATTATATTTAATTGATCTAATTTAATATCGTATTTTTAAAAAATGCTTATCTTAGGGCTCGAATTCGAACTCGAAATTAATGAATATTCACTGATTATCGGTAGAATATTGTTTTGCTGACTGAATTAATGATATTTTCATTGATTCGATTTAGTAGAGCAAGACGTGCAGAATTCTCTCTCTCTCTCTCTCTCCCTCTTTGTCTCTCTCTTTTTCTTTTCCTCTAAAGATAGCAACCACGCGCGTCTGATGTCCCGCGAAGAATTTCGCAAGGCGATTTCCCCGATTCGGTCAGTCGCGATTCAGGCAGTCGCGAGCTGTAAACAAAATTCAGTGTTCCGTCCGTAAAGAATACGGCACGATACGATCGCACAATAGGGACGGAAAATTCGCTTTTTCCAAATCGAGACTGTTTTCCCTATAATCGAATCGACATTCGCGGGGGAACGCGAGTCACAATGTGGCAAAGCGATTTCCCCTTTTATCGCGTTTACGGGTATTCCGTCTAAATCTTTTTTAACGCAGCGTCTTACTTTCTCGCGAAACTACAGATCTTATTCCCCGTGTCTAATAAGATGTAGCTACGTGTTCTCTTGTACTTGTAACGGAGAAATCTTTCACAGTGCTCGCGAAAAGTACGAGAGGCGTCTTGACTTTAATTCCACTTCCCTTGTCGTTAAACGTTACCTGTCGATACGTATCCTGTTTCGAAATGTTCGCGTTCATGCTTGCGTCAGTCGATCCGGCGGTAATACGAATATTCTCGTATTCTGTCCGTATTTCTGGAGAATATGGATCGACGGAGGAAAAAGTAAAGTCGCGAGTCAAGGGTCAATAAATCGCAGGACTCCGAGAAAAAGGTTGCACGCCGGAGAGTTATTGTGGTAATTTGAGTATAACGACATATGAGGTAACTCTGCTCCCGCTTCTCCTCCCGAAGATGGCTCGGTTGCTGATGTAGCCCGAAAAGTCGCTGCCCATTTGCGACTTTCGCCAAGAGCTCGCGTGGACAGCCACTCGTCGAGGTCCTACATTTTTCCCTTACCCCCCCCCTCCCCACGTCCTAAGAAATGACGAAACAGCGCGGCTGCGAGATAATTTGTTCAATCTTCGCAGAGAAATCGTCATTTCTCACAGCGTGAGATGTATCTCAGCGAGTACCTGCGAGCGAAATATTTCGGCCTTAATTAAAAATCTCTGAGCCGATGGCACGAAAACGAGGAGAATACTAAAGGGAGAAAACTCGAGTGTTCTTCGAACGCTCTTCGCGACGGCTCTCTCTCTCTCTCTCTCCTCCTCCTCCTTAGCAAGGAGAAAGAAATCGCGAGAAGAATCCCGCGTCTGCAAGCCCGGCGATATCTTATCCGATCGTTACAAACTTACGATCTTGTCCGAGCTGCTCGACTAAGCAATAATGGATGTTTCTCGTTGTCGCAACATTCGAAGAAGCGCTTTATCGTCTTACCCCTTGAACCGATCGCGAACACAAATTTCACAATGCTCCGCTATTGTCTTCTTTTTTCTTCTCTCTCTCTCTCTCTTTTCTCGCCCGCTCTCTAGTTCTCTCCTTTCTTCGCAATCGCCTGGAAACAATTGAATACAACTTGCAGCGCTAACGCCAGTTATGTTGTCGCTGTCGGGTCCGCTGCTGGGCGCCGTGGTGGGAGCCGCAGCGGGTTTGCTCCTGGTGATCTTCGTGATCGTGATGGCTGTCAAGCTGCGCTATCGACCCCGATCTCAGGAAGACAAGGACTCTCATGACGACGGCGGCATGGCGAACCTGGCGGCGTCGGGGACCGGCGCCTCGTCCCCGCGTGACAAATCGGCGACCTTGCCCCTCAACGCCGATAGCATCGAGAGCTTTGAGAAGGATCCCGATATAATACCGCACGCAAATGGTAGGCGAGAACCCGTCACTCCGCTGCGCCCAGCATGCTCCTCGATTTCCTCAGTGCTTCCCCCTTTCTCTTCGGCTGCATAGTAAATTCGCGCGCCTCCAAGATAGATCACGCGGCGATATATAGATACGAGGAATAATAATAATATTTTCCCGACTTGCCCCTTGTTCCCGGCTTCATTTTGAGCAACGAAACAGGAGGTAACTTGTGACCAACAATGTTCGGAAACACGAGTTTTTCCCGTGATCGGTCAACAATGTGTCGAATAGAACGACGTTATAGATAAAGCGTGTTTGCCGAAGATGTTTCTAACTTCGTGGACGTCGGGCCCGTCGAAACCTGGCCCTCGATATCGAGCGAGGAGGCATTCACGCTTCCGATTCGCGACTAACGTAACTGTTTATTTTCGGCCGACACAGCTATGTACGCGACGTAAGCATGAGATATGTGAATTCGCCGGCCTGACAAGCAACAACGTGATAACTTGGCTCTTCATTGTAGAAAATTCATACGCGGAGCTATGCAAAGGAGCATCACCGCGATACGTGCTGCAGCAGCAACGCCCGGATGCGAATACCTTCACGGGCGCAAACAACGTAAGCTCTCGCAGATCAAACCATAATTTCTGTCATTACTCAGCCCTGAGCTAACTCCGTCTTTCCCCGATGTATCGCATAATTAATTCGTATCCATCGTGACAAAATAGCCGGCGATAACATCAGTGTTGGTGTCGCGCGCGAACGTTCGATGCGTGAAAAACGTGATTACATCGATTTTACGCGAGAAAGGAGAAACCATCATCGCTGCCTCTTATCCGTAGTAACGATTGAAGTAAAAACAATATAATAATATATTCCGATGTATACATAAGCACACACACGCTCGCGCACGTCACAATACATTTCTCGATCGCCTGTATTAATTTATTCCATAAAAGATGAGGCATGCAAATATACCCTTTTTTTTATCCGATGAATTTTTATGTAATTGATCAAAAATCCATATTTAAACAACAATCCACATCGGATGCATTCAGCTCGGGACAATGCACGCCGATGAGCGGCACGAAACCGATGTGATTTCGGCGATTACAGATTTTCATACGCCGCATGGATACACGCACAGATACACGCAGATGTTACATGCGTAAAGCGATCTCCAGCACAATCATCATCAATCATGCACAACTTTCGCTTGTAAAGTTAAAACGCAACAAACCGCATTTAGGTATGTGCCTCTCCGTGTCTGCGGCGTATCGATATCACGGGAATTTTCGCTTCGTGCGAGAACACTTCTCAAATACCAGGTGATCCCATAAGTAACATTTCTTATCGCGCTTTAAACAAGCATAGATTGTTTGGACAACGCGCGTACACAAACTTTCCATTATGCCTTTCAAACAGTTTTATCCCTGCAGTCTACATTGAAATCTACTTTGACAATACCGACGCTTGCAAACTTATCCCTTGAACTTTTAATTCCGCACCGTGTGAGAGAAACACATCTAAAAAGGTAAAACATATTTATTCGGTGGATTTGCTTAAATTCTAAATTCTTTTATTTAAGTGGAATATGAATAACTACTTTCGTGAAACTCGTATTCATGAAATTCGCTCGGGTGCGAGGATGAATATTTTACACTGAAAATTGACTTCAAGGGACGACATTATTTACGGGATGACCTGATAATTCCCTCTAATTAATTCTCCAGTAACTCATGGCGGGACGCGGCCGTAATCAGCCGATCGGTCGATTTCATTGAAAATGAACGCGACCTTGCATAATGCATTCGTTGCGAATTGATCGGGGAGAGACGGTGTATTTGTAATAACGATACAGGAGGGGAAGGAGGCGAGCTGATTCAGGAAGTAATATTGTACTCTCAGCAGGGATCCGAGCTAACGTACGCCGAGTTAACGCTCAGGGGAAACCGGCGGATACCTCTAAATTGCTACCAGCCCGTGCAAATCTCCAGCATCCAACGGCCCCAGCTGCTGCCCATGTCGACTTTGACGCGCAGACAACCAATCCAGGAGCCGACGATTTACGCGCAAGTCGCCAGTCATTCTAAACCGATTTACGTGCCGCCACCGCACCCGTACATGAATCGTCCCAGCGACGAGATCACGGCGGAGACGCCATTGATCGGACACGACAATAAGGTAACAGCGCGCCTGCGGAAAATAACGCGACGGCCATCTTTTCACGGCGGCGCCGACGATAAGAGTCGCGTTTCGGCCAGTCCTTACGCGTTCGTTCACCCCGAATTTCTCGCATTGCAACGCGTACAAGATCGCCCTTCCGCCCGTCCCTCTGCCGAGACGACCGGGTAAGAATTCCCAAAATTAACGAACTTGATAATCATAAATGCATAAGTAAGAACACAAAATTAACCAGGTCTCAACTCCGAGATCCTCCGAGTAATTTCAAGTCGGATCCTCGGACGAATAGCTCTGCTACGAGAAACAATAAAAGTATGAGCCGACTTGGCCGGATGTATAGCGCGATTTTGCGATGCTGCCGGGGGCTCGTAAGCGGACTCGCCGATAAACGCCAGACTCTATCATCCGCATCGTAACGCCGCTAACCGAACTATAAGTGAGCTTTAACCGTCGATCCGTTACTCTCTCTCTCTCTCTCTCTCTCTCTCTTCTAGATCACTACGATCAGCCATTCGGGCAGCTCAATCTGGCGCACCGACACGACGCCCTCCTCGAACGCGCCAACGACATGATTTCAGCAAGCTGCACCGTAATCCACGATTCCATTTCACCCCCCGAACGTCTCTTAATGTACATCCCGCTCCTCCCCGCCTCCCAACCTGTTCCCTTCTCTTCCCGCCCACCGCCCTCTTCCCATCCTTCTTCCTTCGAAAAGAAGAGGAATAAGAGGAAAGAAAAAGGTACACATCGATCCCACGTACGTGTTAAATGCGGAGTTCTTCGAGGGAGGCACCGCGGCCCCTCCGTCGGCGGAAATTGTTATAGTACTTCTTATACTATACGAGTGTTGAATAGAGGATTCGTTCGACGATGAAAGTAATTAACGAAATCGCGCGGAGTATATTATATACGTATACATAGAGAGGAGAAAGAGAGAGCGAGCGTATTGTGTTTGTGCGTGCCTGCATGTATGTGTGTATGCATGTAAGAAAAAGAGAGAGAGAGAGAGAGAGCGAAAAAGATTATGCGCTTTTCGAATGATTTGTGATAGCGTGGTCGGTCGGAGCCGGAAAAGCTTGAACCGTTTTTCTCTTCAGCCGTCCGTAAAACTCGAAGCTCGCGGCGCGACCGCTATTTCGACCCCCCGACGAAGAGGAGGAACGTTCGAATCCCCAGAAGTAAGAAGAGCAAAAGGCCATTGTCCGTAGTCGCGTGCGTTTTGATCGAGTTCAAGCCTGGTTGTTCGAAACAATATAAAATTCAGTCAAATACGCACGTGTATTCCGCATTACGACAGACGCTAGATTTGATTCCAGAGCCGTTTCAGTGGCTGGACTCTTACTTTTACGGACTCTAAGGAGCGTTCGCGTGCTATCAGCGCCGTTAGAACGGCATTTGAGGTTTTTTACGAGGGTAAACAAACGTGGGTGTGTTATCAAACGATTTCCCGGCGCATTTTAATCAGCGACGCGAGCGGAACGCGCGTTCCTCCGACGCGAAAACAGTGAACTACTTTTCAGCACGCGTATCTCTGCGATATTTACGCGAATCTCTCTTATGGTGGATTCTCTCCTTTCAACGTTATCACAGCAGCGGGAGGAATCTCAGCTGCTGGGAGTCGTTCGACGAACTTGCACAGTTGCGAGCTGAAGATCGAAATAGCGCTCCCGCTCGCGGCCGCGCGGTGTGTGTAAATCAAACAACGTCGGTGGATTATGAACGCAACGACACACAGTGCGCGATCGGCATAGGGCGAAGTTAGTCTCGCGCGTTTATCGCGTTATGTACGTGTGAACCGGCGCTTTCTTTCGTAGCCACTGTCGCGAATTCCGTTTCGAAACGTGCCATTAGAACTCCTCCCTGTGTCCGGACCATCGACATAGCGGTGATGTTTCCGTTTTCAGCCACTCTGATGAACGAAATTTTCGAACGAAGCGAAGGAGATAATTCTGAGAAAAAGCACGGACGAGAGGAAGGAACCGGCGGGATTTGATTTTGAGAATTTTCGCGGACGTTCAACGACACGTTTCCGCGATGATTGAGTTTCCTCCCGTTCCTTTACAACGCATCTTCCGTCTTCTTTCCTTGATCAAGGATAAAACGGCGAATCCCTTGTTCGACATTAAGATAGGTCGGAGAGCATTTCCACATTTAGCGCTCGGTTATATCGTTAACGTATCGTTAACGGATAATGATAGAATCATCGAGAGAGAAAAACGAGATGGAAGGTGATGTGTGAGAATCCGAGAAGATCGCGATTATCCGACTTGGAAGATCGAGCGTCGAATTTGGCGTAGACGTGCATTTTTCTTTCGACTTCACCCCCCGAAGCCGCGTTCACCTTTAACAGAGTACCACGTACGCGTTCGTGTAAGAGACTACGCGCGAATTTTAATCCGGATCTACAATAAGTGAGTAGTAAGCCTCCTTTAGACTTTTGCTCTGAACACGAAATTGTAACGTAATTTCTAGCGAAAAGCGTTTCCAGCGCAACGAGACGTCACGATATCTACGATTTGCGCGTTATTACGACTTTCGGTGGTAAACGCCTCTTGTTAGAAATTACGTTACATTTTGTCGGTCAAAACAAAAGATCGAAGACCTACTGCACCTACTCCCGAACAGCACAAAATGTCCTATGAATATTCTTACGAAATACGGATGTTCTCTTTTCAGAATATTCGAGTCGGATATTCTATGCACATAGATAGAATATATTGTAGACAGAGATATATTTGCATATTTGTAATATAAAAAGAACGTTCTTACATGCGCATGTGCAATGCGTCGATCTAATTGACAAAAAGTAGACAATCTTGTACATGCGTTACGACATACACACTGAGGCTGCGTTTCGCTATTCACTGTAACTACTGACGACGTGACGTCATTAAGTAGAGCTGCAAGATCGTTCTGTAATTACTGCTGTTGTTTTTACCACGCGTACAGCGCTATACAATAAGAAAAATAAATGAGGGCTGAAGAGAAGATCGGCAGCAGTTTTCGACGAGTCTCCCCTGCAAGTAATATTACGGAAGATTCCTGTGCTGTCTGGGAATTGTAGAGCCGGGCTTAACGTCGCGATTAGCCGGAAGAACATGCCTTCTTTCTCTCACTTTGGTTTCATAGTTACCCGCCACTTGCGTAGTGACCATTTAGCGTAAGTCGTTTGTTCATTCGGAGGGAGTTACGTAGACGAGTTACCGGTAGCAAGATTAGACGATACCCAAGAGGGTGGATGAAGCGAGGGAGTGGGCACGCGCGCGCGCGTGCTCTCCATCTCTCTCTCTCCGAGTGATCAATCGTCGATATAACGAGTCTCCTCGTGCGCGCTCTCGTCGGCCTCTTGTCGTGACGGAAATCCGAGAAGGCGGGAGACGAGAGACGACGACGACGATCGCGGCCGATGATCGACGTGAAGAATCCTCGCGAGAGCTTCGTCGCGCGGAGCCTTTGAGAAGACTGAGCGAGAAGAGCGACTGAGGACGTGGGAATTTGTTTTGTGATGCGCGCGTAGCAGGTGCCATATTAAACAGAGACGGGCTCGATTTTTCCGAGCAGCTCGATCCATCGGGCAAAATGCGCCCCAATTCCGCGCCGCGATAGATGCACGCAACTTCCAGCGCGCTAAGCTCCGGAAAGCGTGAGTTTCCCCGCGCGAAATTGCCGCGCGTTGACGGCGAAATGAGGATTGACGAGTGATCGGCCGGTCGTTTCTTACCTCGCCTACTCGCGTTCGCTGGGACGTCGAAGTGACTGGAGGCGTTCCCGTCACTCACGGCTCAAATGCGCCGCGACGAGCTCCTCGAGGAAAAATCGCAGCCGTTCGATATGTCTTACGTACATTTTTGCTGTACTCACCACTTGTGGTGTCGTGTAATTCTCGCTTCTCCCCGACTGACGGACGCGTTCTCCGGGAACGCTTCACTTCAACGGCCCACCCCGCTCGCGAGAGAAAGTATGAACACTGCGGAAGAACGGAAGAGAAAATTGAATCGGAGAAACAATGATCGAAATTAGCGCTCGGTCTGCTCTCATGTTGATCTTAATATATTCTGCGAGGATTTTGGGCGTGCGTTTTCTCGCTTCTGACGTCATTAAACAGGACGACTACGGACTAGAGAGCAGGAGTCTTAAAATGTATATACTAATTAATTCTATTATGTGAGCGTAACGTGATATATATATATATTCTTCGCGGCTAAAAGGTTGAAGACACGCGACGCCGATCAAAATGTTCGAGCGAACGACTCGTTGAACGCTTATATGGAGATGAAAGAAACGTACACGCGTATGCTTTATTAACACAATGTAAATAATATCGTGCCCGTCTCTGATACGCGAGTTCACCAACGGTGGGAGTGATGTAAGCGGACTAGTCGTGGAGAGAGACGAAATTGTTCCTTGTGACTCTTTTTTCTATATAACATATATATAAATTATATATATNTACATCACCCTCATTCCGCAACCCCGACTCGCAAGATCGTTGCGCGAGGGCGACTGTTGTTCGAACGAATTCGACGTTGTTGTTATATAGACGTGTTGTAACGACCACGGCCTTGTTTCGCCGGGGCGACGGGGAACGCGTGTCGCAAGCCGCGTGTCAATTGTAATAATAAGGGAACGTCGTGGCGCGTTTGCGCGAAATCAGTTGACCGACGCGAGAGACGCGCTCGCGTTTCTCGCAACGCGAAGGCGCAACGTGCGACTCGCGATTCTCGCGTTCCCACGTGCACGCGCGTGTATGTGTGTGTGTATGTCTCTCTTGCTAGCTGATATTTATTTCCCCGAAAAAAAAAACAAGTGCCCCCCTCCCCGTCCACCTCCACCCTTGGCCGCCTGTTCTTCCCGCGAGCTTCTTCCGCCGGCGAGCGCATCATCGAGGGAAGAAGTAGAGATCGGGGAAACGCAAGACGTCCTCCCCTCCCCCCTTACACCCCCATGTCGTTTCTCTCGTTCCTCAGAAAATCGCGCTTCAACTTGTTTTGTCCGCGTGGCTGTCGCGTAAATTCGCAGGTGACACTTTTGCGCACGATCGTCACGTGACTTCTCGTGCGCGTGTCGCGCGCGTGACAACGCGCGGGCTCCGTTCGCACGTGTGAACTTTTGATCTGCTCTTTACAGCTGAGTCTAGCTCTGTATTCTGGTTCAAGTAATTTCCATATACACATTGAAGCGTGTGAAACGTTACACGTACAAGATTCTCGCGCTTCAGTGTGCGAAAAATTTCGCGAATTAGCGCAGCTAATTCAGTTATAAAGAACAGACTGTGTAATTATATAATTCTTCCTTCCCCCCTTCCTCTCCTCACTACCCTTCCACCCCTCGTCTTTGAATCTCACTTCTTCCGTGATAGTAAGTAATATAGCGCACTCTCACTATCGATTAATGGACTCCGCTGTATTCGCTCAATGTCTAACACCGTAAAACGTAGATGTTAGCGGTATCGCGGATCTCGCATGCGCCGGAATGTGATGTTTCAACGGAGAGAGAGAGAGAGAGAGAGAAAGAAAAATAAAAAAGAGTAAGAGTCCACCCGTCCGTTGTCAATCACGCCGAGGCGGTGCCTCGCGTCGCGCGATTCGTTCTCGGAGAACGTAGCACGAGAGTGCGACTTAAGGTACAATAGAGGTATTTTGTCATAACGTCGCGTGTTTATTCATGATTTCGTGCATTCCCGACGTTTAGCGTTAGACGTAGGCGGTTTAGTCTTAAGTTTTGTACCAAGGCGGTAAGGTAAGTCCGTCGAGCGAGGCTCACTCCTGCCGGCGATCGTACGATTACAGCGAATACATGCTCCTTATATATGGATAATACTCTGAGGGAATAAGAGCAGAGTGCCATAATTAAATAAATACGCAAATAGAAGTGCGACGGAGGCAAGCACACGGCGTTGTTGAACGGAGAGTGGAAATGTGGGACGATCGGCGTGATACGTTCCAGCGTGTGCGAATTCCCCGATTCTCCTGGAACGACGAGATTATTGTCCGTTTGATAAGATCGACGATCAAATATGACCGAAGAACGGCTCGCCGAGTCGCTCAGCGAGCTATATTTGTAATCTAAATTTTAAAACACGATTACCTTGTAAGCGTAACGAGATAGAGAGGAAAATTCACGATTCGCGCCTACACATGTAAGTGGGTTGAGTAATAATAATAATAATTATTATTATTATATTAATAATAAAATAATAATAATAACAACAATAATAAGAAAGAAGCAGAAAGGGAAAAATAAAAGGGGCACAGTGGCGGTAGAGCCGTGCGCCAAAATCAGAGATTCCGTATTTTGTCAGATAATTATTATTGCCAGTGTAATATAAAACTTTGATATGTATTGTTAGTATTATGCATCGTGGGTATTACGTAAATAAATTTAAATATAAACCATATGCATACACACCTTTACACATACACACACCGATATACGAGCATACGCATATGTACACGTGTGTTTGTATATATAAAGGAGGATAACTTTTAAGATAACTATATAAATATATATAAATATAAATATATATAAATATATATATATATATAATTTATATATATATATATATTTAAATTTATATATATAAATATATATATATATAATTTCAAATAACTTTTAATATAGATTTACTTGTGTAAAATATAAGGAGAACTAATTGTGCTCAATAAATTTCAATAAATAAC